GACAACCTTTAACATAAGATTAGCTACATATTTCTGTTTTGAAATGTTTTATTCTCTCAAGCTAAAAAAAAATCTCTCAATCTATACTCTATTGGTAATTTAGTAATTCAAAATAAGAGAGCCCTGGCCAGCACAGCTCAGTGGTTAGAGCACTGGCCTGAACACCAAAGGATCTCCAGTTTGAGTCCTGGTAAAGGTACCTGGGCTGCAAGTTCGATCCCAGCCCTGGTTGGGGTGCCTGTGGGAGGTAACCAATCGATGTGTCTCTGTCACATCAATGTTTCTCCTCTCTCTCTCTTTCTTCCCCCACCCCTTCCACTCTCTCTAAAAAGTCAATGAAAAAAATATCCTCAGGTGAGGATAACAACACAACAACAAAACAAAACAAAAACAAAATAAGTGAAATTGAAGTGTCAAGATAACTATAATTATTCTGATAAAATCACAACCATTTATACCATGAAAAGCTAGTATAGATAAGACAATTTACATTAATATGAACAATGTCATAAATAGCTGTCCCTTGAACACCTTGGGGGTTAGGGACACCAATACCTACTCCACCCTGCATAGTCAAAAATGAGTGTATAATTTTTGCCTCCCCCAAAACTTGACTACAGTCCCTGGGTCCCCTCGGGAGATTAGTTCCAGGACCCAAACATGGATACCAAAAACCTGTGGATGCTCAAGTCCTGTTTATAAAATGCCATAGATCAATGCATATAGCCAGCCCTCAACATTGGTGGACTCCCAACACTATGGATCAAAAACAGCACAGGTATTTATAGAAAAAAACCTGCATATAAGTGGACTTGCACAGGTCAAACCCATGATGTTCCAGGGTCAGCTATATATAATCTAACACCACCAATAAAACAGGAAAAAGACACTATATAATACAGTACTATGGTGAAAATCTTAAGGAATTAAACCTTGACAAGTATGGCCAAACTTACATCTGCTATAGTAAATAATGCCATTTCCACCCCCATATTATAAACCAAGATTATGGTATTTGACCCCCATTTAAACAGACTTAGTGGAATTACATATGCTACCACTTTATTAAAAATTTCTAGGAAAACTACATTCATTGATTTTCATATTTAGTTGAATATTTCATTGATATACATATGACTTACAACAAAAAGCAGTTGTTTAGTCCTTTCTACATGCTTGAGGAATTTGTGCCCCATTCCTTTGTTCACATGTGCTCCTTCTATTAAACCAGGAAGATCAGCTACCAATATCTAATACAAAGTTAAATGGTTTGATAAAAAAGAAAAATACATGAAAACCGTTAAGTAGAATTACATAAAAAATGTTTCATGGTATTTCGAGTATGAACAGGTCCTGACTTGTGATTAGCCCTGCATCTTTATAAAGCCAAAATACCTTTACAACAAAATGTATTAAGAATCAAAATCCTTCTTTATCAGAAATTAGAGTCCCATTTTTAATTATTAATCTAACAATCTGGAATTTTAGGGATTAATATAACAAGTTATTAATCACAAAATTCTAGTAAAAATTCCATAAATTACATTGTTTAATGCAAACTTTCCACAGAATTTCAACTTTCTAAATTCTTAAAAGTGCTCAAAGATATTAATTCAGCTGGCATTTACTTAGTACAGCTCTGCAGTTTTAAATTTTAAATTCTTTATGTAGTTAATATTCCTTTTCTATTCATAATCTATCAGGAGGACTATTGACCATCCTTAAAAAGTAAAGGATATAGCATCCCTATTTTCCTTTGGCGATGCTAAGCATTATTAGCCATTATCCTACATCTGTGGTTTTCAAACCTCACTGCACATCATAATCAGTTTTATAAATTACAGATGCCCAGGCCCCACACCTAAGAGATCTGGTTTCAAATCTCTGGAGTGCAGGCTTCACTTATCATTGTTATTCTTAAGCTACCCAAATCATTCTGAATAGCAATAAGGTATGGGAAACACTGCTCTACACACACTGCTCCTATGAATAAAGATTTCAGAGTATGTGACAAAGCAGTGTACACTACAGAGGTCTCATGTCCTGAAATTTTGTTTAAAGGTTCTCTAGTAATTTCCCTTAAAAATTACAAACAATGCTCTCTTTTTCTAAGTATTGTTTGCTATATTCATTATTACCTTGTATTTATAATTGCTTAGTATTTAATATTCTATATAACTTAAAATTTTATTAATTTACTGTTGTACCACTGTTAAAGCAGTATAAATCTTATTTCTTTTGAATTATGTCAATGGATTATATGAAACATTGATACATCATCACCAAAAGCCCATTAGGATTCACTCTTGGTTACGCACATTCTATGAGTTTTGACAAATATATGACACATATCCACCATTTATAGTATCATACAGAATAGTTTTACTGCCCTAAACATCCACTGTGCTCTGCTTATTCATCCCTTCCTTCCATTCCCCCTAATTCTTGGCCACCACTGATTTTTTTTTTCTTATCTCCATAGTTTTTTTTTGCCTTTTTCCAAAATCTCATATAATTGAGTCATACAGTATGCAACCTTTTCAGACTGGCTTCTTCCACTTAGTAATATGCATTTAAGATTCCTTTGTGTCGCCCTAGCTGGTTTGGCTCAGTGGGTAAAGTGTCAGCCTGCAGACTGAAGGGTTCTGGGTTTGATTCTGGTAAAGGGCACATGCCTGGGTTGTAGGCTCGATCCCCAGTAGAAGGCGTGCAGGAGGCAGCCAATCAATGATTCTCTCTCATCACTGATGTTACTATCTCTCCCTCTCCCGTTCTCTCTGAAATCAATGAAAGTATATTTTTTTTAAAAAAGGAAGAAAATAAAGAAGAGGCCCTAGCCAATGTGGCTCAGTTGGTTGGTGTGTCGTAGTGTCATCCAGTCGGGGTGAGTATGGGAGGCAACCAAGCGATGTTTCTCTCTCTCTTTCTCCCTCTCCCTTCTTCTCTCTCTAAAATAAAAAATAACATATTCCTGGGTGAGGATATAAAAAAAGGAAGAAAATAAAGAGGATAAGATGCTATAATGACAAACTGGACTTAAAGTTCCAAAGAATAGGAAGTTACATTCTCAACTGAGTGCAATCCACATATAAGTGAAATCATATACGGGACATAACACTGAAAGCAACAAATGAACAAACAAGAAAAATACACACACAAAAACTCATAGATACAGACAACAGTAAGCTGGTTACCAGAAGGAAGCGGAGTGAGGGGTAGTAAAGGTTAAAGGGGATCATATATGTGGTGATGGAAGATGAGTCAAGCTTAGGTGCTGGGCAGGTGATGTAATATACAGATGTAGCATAGAACTGTACACTTGAAACCTATATAACTATTAACCAGTCACCCCAGTAAATTTTAAAAAATATAAAAATACCTATTTTAAAAAGCTACATTCTTATACAATATTTTACTGATAGTACTCATTATTGACTTGATCACAGTCTCACTTACTAAAAACAAAATCTTGCAACTGTCCCTCTCCCCCGAACACCACAGAAACAGTCAAATATAAAGTCCAAGTACCAAAAGCAAGTACTTTCACTTCTAACCAAGTCTGTTACTTTAATTTTTTTACAAGTGTCTTACTTTAAAAATACCCACCTGTTTGAAATCTTTATACATGATCTTTCCAAGTTCAGGCTGTAATGTTGTAACTAAAAGAAAAAAGCAATAATAAATAAAGCCTAAAATAAAGGGCGATACTCTCAAAACTGTCTTAGCATTATGTATAAAATAAAAAATACTTTTCTGTGGACAAGTTAATTCAGATGATGTTCTCATTTGTTGATATAGAAGGTACAATTATTTTTGCTATGTACAATAAACTTGGAAAAGAACAAACACAGATGTTTATAATATGCACCGTCCAATCTAATTAGTGGGCCTCAAAGTTTCTCTGCTGCACTTGAAGAAGCTTGGTGGGTGGAACAGAATTTAGACTTCTGTCACTATGTCTGGTCTGGTCCTTTCGCATTCAGTGATCTTCAAGCCTCCCCAATCCTGCACTAGCCTCATAAAATCCTAACTACACCAAACAAATAATTATGCAACAGAAACGTAAATGCAACGAAGGAAGTAACAAGTACCAGAATCTGCTGAGGGCAGCAGAAGTTTCAAAGATTAATGGGAAATGCATATATTCTGCCAAGAGTTTTCAAATTCATAAGGCTACCCTCATGAGTTGTCATTTTATTCATACTACGAGAAAGAGTAGTTTTTAAAAATTCACCACTACACATTAAAATACAAAACGACTTATACTTACATGCATAATCTGCAACTGCAGGTTTTGCATGAGAAATTTTACTTAGCAAAGAGGATTTTCCAGCATTTGGGAATCTGAAATGAGAAAATGAATTTATACATTGCAACAAATATCATACTATTAATATTCTTTACCTCTGAATTCTTAACATATAAGAAGCAAATTTCTTGAATGTTTCTGGGATTAAAAGAAGAGTATAACTTTAAAATAATCTTGAAAAACTCGAGGAACAAAATATACTTATGAAACAGGTAAAGATAAATTCATGCTGGACACTGAAAATGTTTTAGTATTGTGAATAAATAATTCAAATTATGTAAATAAAACTAGTAAAGCATAGGACAACAAAAATAAACTAATATAAATTCCTGTAATCTACAATCTCTAGCAAACACTAATAAAATATTACTTATATTGTTTAGTGGGTCTAAAATAACTATTTTTTTAATTGACTTTTTTTAGAGAGAATATTATTCAACTGTAAGAAGGACAAAATAGTGCCACTTTTGACAACACAGATGGACCTTGGGGCATTGTGCTAAGTGAAATAACTCAGACCATGAACAACAAATAATATATGATCTCATTTATACATAGAACCTAAACAAACAAAAAATCAAATTCATAGACAGAACATATTAGTGGTTGCTGAAGGTGGGGAAGAAGGGGTAGGCAAAAATGGGTAAAGGGGGTCAAAAGATACAAATTTCTAGTTATAACATAAATAAGTCATGGGCCATATAATATGTAGTATAATGACTATAGTAAATACTACTATATAATGATACTGTAGTATATATTTAAAAGTTGATAAGAGTAAATGTTTAACTTTCTCATCATAGGAAAAAAATTCATAACTAGCTGTGGTAATAGATGTTAACTAGACATATAGTGATCATGTTGTAATATACAAATATTGAATCACTATGTTGTTCACCTGAAACTGATATATATGTCAATCCTAACTGAATAAAAAAATTATCCAGCAAATATTTATTGAACATTGACTTGGATTAAGCAATATCATAGGCACCAGAAAAATAACAATCAATGAGGCAAATGTGATCCCTACCTTCACAGAGCTGTCATTCAAATTTGAGAAAGCTCTTCTTTCAAAACTCTGCCAAACTTTCATTTGGAATAACAGTGTAATATTTTGCAAATATTAATTTCAAATTCTATAAAAATTTATAAGCTCTTAATGGATCTCTTTTAACAATTTTTTTTCATTAAAAATATTTCTATAATAAATTTAGAATCAAATTATGTGAGATTTCTAAATGACTTGCTACCCTTGGAAATACAATATTTTCTTATATCCTGTTAAACCCAGTCTCTTGTAACTATTTGAAAAGTAAATTGCAACCTTTTATCCATGATCATCACTAGTTAGTCTTATTTTTTCCAATATCCTATTTTCATAATAGTAAAGATGTAAGCATCTACTGTATTTCTAAAAGATCAAAATATGAGAAGAAAAAGGATGGTAATGGTTAAAGAACAGACCTTTGAAATTGTTCTTAAAGAGTATGGAATGAAAATTTTAGAGGCTGAAATCCAATCTATGTAAAGGTCAGCTTTGACAATAGCAGTACAAGTGTATGTTATATACCTTTCTTCAAAGGTTCACTTCACTGCTGAGACTAGCTAAAAGGATTTCTGCTTATGCTGGTATTCACAGTAGTAACTTTTTAAGAATAGCTACCTAACTTAAAAGCACTAGAAAAATGTTAAACATTGTGCTTAAGAATTACGATGTGCTAATTATTTACTGTAATTCCAAGCCCACTTCTGAAAAGCTTAGAATCTCACTATAGTGGCCTCTTATAAGGTGGCAATAAAATGATCACGATAGCAGTGACCATTCATTCACTGAGCATTTATAAATCCAAAGCATGTGTTGTACTGCAAATGTAATATCTTACCAACGTCTTAAGACGAGAACTCCCCATTCACTATTGAAGATGAGTGAACAAAAACTTAGACAGTATAATGTATCCAAGAGTAGCTAGTTAGCCTCCTGAGGACTAGAGATTCTAATACAAATAGTCTCACTTGATTCCCCTATGCCCACTCAACTTTTACTACTCAGCCCTGCTGAGCTTTTCTTAGTCTGTAAAGGTGTCTTCATGGAACTTGAAACCCATTTTTCTACCAAATGAGAAAATGAATGGCTGGATTCTCAGCCATATCCATAAAACCCTATTAAATTGGTAATGTTTGAAAAATATTACAGAGCCTATGACCCATAAACCTTGAGGGGAAAATTACATGTGAATGGAAAGACTGAATGCCAGGATCACATCTTTCCCTGTTACAACTCTGATGGATGCCAGAGGGGAGGAGGGAAGGGGAGTTTGCCTCTGTGAACTCCAAGTCACTGCTGGTAAGACCTTGACAGGCATGGGAAGAGGAGAGACTCATAGCGAAGAGTCTGGTAAAGAAGCAGTGAGATGGCTGGAGAGGAAGATGAAAAGAGCTTAGAAAGAACCAATGCGGGGAGGAACCAAGATGGCGGCATAGGTAAACACCTGAACTTACTGTCTCGCACAACCACATCAAAACTACAACTAAAAGACAAAACGGGTATCACCCAGAATCACGGGAAGGCTGGCTGAGTGGAAGTCTGACAAGTAGAGAGAAAGAGAAAAGCACATCGAGACTGGTAGGAAGTGTGGAAGAGTGGAGGTATGGAGACGCTTGAAATTGGCTGGAAACTGGGTACGCTGTGGTCTTTTTCAGTGGGGAGGAAGATACAAGTTCCAAACTGCTCTGAACTCCAGTTCCGGGAGAGACTTTGGGGACCCAGACTCATATGGGGAGAAACCGGACTGTCTGGCATCGGGCCGGAACACAAGAGCGGCTTTCTCTCAGAGGGGCTTGCAGCGATCATTGTTCCTGCACGGGCCGCGGGACACAGAGATCCAGGGACTTATCGGGCTTGCAGCGATCATTGTTCCTGCACGGGCCGTGGGACACAGAGATCCAGGGACTTATGCAGGGCAGGACTGACTGACAGGCAACCATTGCTGTTTGTACTGCCCAGTGATTTCCTGAGACCCCACGCCACCCAATTTACAACCCCACCCAAGCTGTGAACAGAGGATTTTGCATATGAATGACCCGGCCTTTGTAATCTAAAACCTAACGAACTGCAGCTGGGTCAAAGAGCTCCAGAGCTTTCTAAAGAAGGCATAAGGCTCCTCAGCAGCCTGCATTGCTTCACAGCTGCCCATCATCTGGGCACCTCCAAACCCCAAACAAAGAGGAAGAATCTGCAGATCTCTCTGTAGCTCCTGCTGGGTGGCCTCAGACAGTGGCTGACTTTGCATCTCCTTGGAGACCCAAGAGCCAGTGTACCCAGTGGTCAGAGGAAGACCACACCAGATTCCAACTCTTCACATCCATAAGAGACACACTCAGTGAACACCAAAGCCCCATTGAAGCAAGTCCTGCCCCTGAAGGGTGTTTCCAGCACAGCAGTTCTCCTGTTGTAGACATAACTGGTCTTCACAGCCAATTGTCTGGAGGTCAATTCCTCCCAGTGATACTAATAGCGATCAAGGCTTAACTACAACAAGACTGTGCACACAGCCCACAAAGGGGTGCACCAAGAGTATCAACCTCAGGTGATAGGGGAGGCTGAGCCACTGGGCCCTATAGGACACCTAGCACACAAAGCCACTCTATCAACACAGGGAAACAGCCAAAATGCAGAGACAAAGAAACATGTCACAAATGAAAGAAATGGAGGAAAGCAAACTACTGAATATAGAGTTCAAAACCACGGTTATAAGTTTGCTCAAGAATCTTCTAGAAACCTCTGAGAAATTTAGTGAGATCCTCAAGGATATGAAAAAAGGCCAATTAAAGTATACACTGACTGAAATAAAGAATAATATACAGAGATCCAACAGCAGACAAGAGGATCCCAAGAATCAAGTCAAAGATCTGAAATATGAAGAAGCAAAAAACACCCAACTGGAAAAGCAAAAAGAAAAAAGAATCCAAAAATATGAAGATAGTATATGGAGCCTCTGGGACAACTTCAAGTGTACCAACATCCCAATTATGGGAGTGCCAGAAAAAGAGAGA